ATCACTGGTATAATTTATTCAGGGTTCGTACGGTCCTTAAGAGTCCTTAAAAGTCCTTAAATTTTTTGGAATTGATTTTTGGTCCTTAAAGTCCTTAATTTTGGTCAAAATCAGCAGAAGGTCCTCAATTTTAATCATCTGAAATTTCTGTTTGTTTTTATGACTGCCATTTTGAGTGTGAATTAGCATTTTGGAGGAATATTTGTGGCGATTCACTGACATATATGGTTATCTTTTGAATGGGTTCATGAGTTATAATTTGTTTCTATTTCTAATAAAAATGATGGGATACTTGAGTTTCTAAGCAAGAAGTGAAACATTAGCATTTTGAATTTCCTTTTTTCTAATAAAGAACTCTTAAACAACTTTTCGCTTTTGGGAATGTGAATTCTTTTATTAAACAGCTCTAAATTTGGCGACTTGTCAACATTTTGGCGATTTTAGGATCAGTTTCTATAGAAAATTTTTAATTCCGAGATCTGACAATTTTTCGACCAGTTTTTTTAAAGCATCATAACATTGATAAATTTCATTAAAATAATGGTAATGTGGGAAATGTTATGTCATGATATTCCCTAATCCCCTACTGTGTGACGTATGCATTTGCACCAGCATGCGTTTCCCGCCTTCGGGAGAGGACGAGGACTAGATGGCGAGCGGAGGCAGACGTCGCTCGATCACTCGCATATTATTTTCATTAATTGTAATTCCTAATGTAATCTATGTTTGTGAATAGTAATAAATGTGTGTTATCAACTATGGTCGTTGCCTTTCCCCACATTTTGGGGTCTCGACCGTGCCTTTTGTGCAGGCGTTATAATCGAACCCTAGACACCAGCAATCACTAAAGACGTTCAGAAAGCTAACAAAGGCAAGACGTGCCTTTATGACGATTTAATATTCTTCTTCAAGCCAGACGACGTATGTGAATGAAGACATTCTTTTATGACGATTTAATATTCTTCTTCAAGTCAGACGACGTATGTGAATGAAGACATGCTTTTATGACGATTTAATATTCTTCTTCAAGCCAGACGACGTATGTGAATGAAGACGTGCTTTTATGACGATTTAATATTCTTCTTCAAGCCAGACGACGTATGTGAATGAAGACATGCTTTTATGACGATTTAATATTCTTCTTCAAGCCAGACGACGTATGTGAATGAAGACGTGCCTTTATGACGATTTAATATTCTTCTTCAAGCCAGACGACGTATGTGAATGAAGACGTGCCTTTATGACGATTTATTATTCTTCAAGCTGGACGACATATGTGAATGATGTTCCATGAGCTACTTGTCCATTCTTCTGATTTTGGACGTTAAATCGAAATTCGATTTTGGATTACATTGGATTGGCCAAGAATATATATTGGATTATAAGGACTGCCCGGAAGTTAGGTAGGCCCATTTTTCCCTAATTCGTTCATAATTTATTAGTATTACGATTTTAAGCTGTGCTTATACTGTTCAATTCTCATTCATACATACCCTATTTCATATTCATATTGTCCTTTTTTACTGTTTAAAGAACTATGGCCCTAACGTATGCATTTGCGTCAGCATGTGTTTCCCGCCTTCGGGAGAGGACGAGGATTAGCTGGCGAGCGGAGCAGACGTCGCTCGATCGCTCGTATACCATTTTCATTAATTGTAATCCTAATGTAATCTATATTTGTAAATAGTAATAAATGTGTGTTATCAACTATGGTCGTTGCCTTTCCCCACAGTAATATATTGAAATTATATATAAAAAATAACATTAAAATAAAACATTCTATTTTTTGCTGTCATATTTTAAAGTTTCATTTTGGCAACTTATACAATATTATGAATCTGATAAATAAGGCATATTGCTATAAAGCATAATTTACGAAACAGCTCTTAGCAAGAGTAAAATTAGCTATGCAATTAACTAAACATGTCTTCTTTTTAATTTTTTCATAGTAAGCGTTTTTCCTATGCAATTGTCTCGGAATATTCAAAATTCTCAGAATATGCACCAGTTTTCTCTATAAAATTAATTTTACACTTTTTCCCTCCTTCTTTTTTTTTCAAAATATTTCTGACTTTTTGCTGTTACGGAATTGGTAGGGATAATTTTTCTTTAGTATTTTAGACATTGAAGCTTGTAAAGTTTAGAAGGGTTTGAAGTCAAGATTTATGGACCCACGATTCTAGAAGATTCGAGAAATATGTGACAAAATGAAAAATGTCTCCATGATATCGACACGTAATGGATGTATTTTACAGAAAGTTTGCGATGAATTTCTTACCTTTTGGAGAACGTCTGAAAGAACAATGAAAACATAATATTTAAATGTTTTACTCCTGATACTAGAATCGTTTTCTTAACATGTTTATCTCCCCTTTATTATCTCTACATTTCACTAGACACAAGCATCAAAAATATCAAAAATGCTTCTAATCTTTTCACTGGGCAGGCATTATAGAAAGGGATTTTTTTATTCATAAAGAAATTGAAAACTTACAATTTAAAAGATTCATCTAATATGCCTTAATGCATCATACACAGAGCTGGCACTAGGCATTTTCCCACCTGATGCAATTTCTGTGAATCCTAAACTCTAAACGTTTTGCTATTTCTAGATTTTGTTGTTCGGTGTGTCACTAAATTCTAAAAAATTCTACCACACCAGCTTTGTAACCGGGCTTTACCATATATATTTCATATTTCTTCTGAATGTTCATATTACTAAAGAAATAAAATTAGCCACTTTTTCTATACATTCTAAATGCATTTAGTGTTTTTTAGAATAACAGAAATAATTGGATCCAAAAATTCTAAAATGAAAAGGAACCGTGTTGAAGAAAGAAACTGAATACATAAAGAAAATTAATCCTCAAAGATATGTGCAGTTATTATTATGTAACTTACCCAATTGTTTATAATTTCAGCCTTTCAGTTTATGATTCAGTGGGTGTTTGGGACTATTTATTTTTTACCAGATCAAGTAAACCCTCATAGATACCTTGTGGAGATGTTGACAAGTTAGGAGATAAGCACGCAGAAACTAGTGAGGGTTTGCATATTGAGAAAACTCTCTAATTGTTAGAAAAGATGATTAAAGAGAAGGAAATCTATATAAACTAGCCTAAATGTTTGGAAAGGCTTCAAATTAAAATGAAGGATAAATATTTTGTTGAGTGTTGTCACAAAACATAAATGTTTTGTAGCTTTTAATATGTATCCTAATATCGTTTAAGAATCAATGTCATAAAATACATGTATTTTAAACTGTGAAATTTTATTAGATTTTGATTTTAATAGGCTTTTTTAACAAATATTGTTAAAACATAAAATTTAATAGTGGCCATGTAAATTCATAATGACTAAGGTTATCTAATTACCTAATTTAATTATTTATAACTAATCTGCTTACCCTTAAAAAGTTATCTCTACATATTAAAGTTGAGTTATTGCCTTTCATTAACACTTACTGTGGTCACAAGAGAAAACACAAAAATTTAAAAATTCAAGTAAAATTTATTCTTTGCATCTAGTGAAACTTAAAAATAATACAAAACAACTTATCATCATCTGGTACTTTAATCGCTTATTTGGAACATTAAAGTATATTAACTGGGCTCTCTACACAAAGCTATGACACTAACTGCATCAAACAGAGCCTGACTAAGTTTCAACACTTGCCAACTGTGTCTACATCAGACCTTTCGGGTTTGTTCTAATGAGCACGTCCCTCTCTAGACAAGCAACAGCGGTGACAACATTCAGTCTTTTTTTATGAATCATGCTGATTATGATCTTACTTCTCATTTTAACCTATACCGTTTGACATAAAATCTACCTGCTATTTACTAAACCTCTAGACTGACTAAGTATGTAACAAAATGAGACATAAAAAAATCAACATAAATCTAACTATTAGTAAAACGTAAGTAAATGACATCTTCTTTCAAATATGTCCAACTAATATAAGTGTAAAATATTTAATCCTACTTGATAAATTGTATAAAGTTTATTTTATTCTCAAGCTTATTAATCATTATGTTAATTAATTCATGTTTAGTAATAATGCATACTACTCAGGGATCTATTTTATTTTTAGGATGGTATTACAAAAGTGAAATTCAGGCATAGAATAGTATTTTTAATTGAATTTATTCAGTTCCCATTTGCTCATAGGTCCTTAATTTTTTCATTAATGGTCCTTAAAAGTCCTTAAAGTACTTGATTTCTGTGTGCAGAAATGTGTACGAACCCTGTTTATTTTTTTAACTGGCCTACCTAGTAAGAAATTGCTATTAATAGTTCTACACTGTATACATAGTGTTCATTTTTATCTTTATGATTATTACCATGAAATTTAATAATTTCTAATATTTCAGTAAATGCTTTACGTACAGGTGTGAAAATTTTGGGTTTAACTTATTAACACACAGTGAAGACTTTATAGAGACATTAGGATATTTTGAGGTCGGAGAGATGAAAAATTAGCAACCGCTTTCGCCGAGAATCGAACCACGGACCTCTGAAATACCGATCAGTGTGCTGACCACTACACCACAAAGGCACGCTAGGAAGGCGGGAGAAACACCTTATAACTTTACTAACTGGACATTTTTCTCTACGGTGACCGTACAAAAATTGTATTTTAATTTGAGAAGCCTTTTGCAAACGAAATGCTTTATAATACTTTATAATTCTAATAAATCACCCACGAACAATATTTAAGGAAATAAAAATTGTATCCACCTTTCCTGGTATTTTATTTTCCCTTTGTCATTTAACTCTTTTGAACCCCTTTGCTATGGAGGAAAAATATAACATCGTGTCTTTCGTGGAAATTCATATTGATTATAGAACATACTATAATTTTATGGTTGTCCAAAATTCTCAGATTTATGTTCATGAAATAAGTTTTGAATTTATGTCACAGGATTGCGCAACAGAGCGTATTGGATAGATTTATTGAAAGAGTAATGAACTAATGATGATTGTTTTTCCATCTGCAGCAGCTCCAAGGATACATGCTTTCATATTCAAAATTGCTTCTCACATGTCTGGCCGTTGTGCTCTCAGGAGGATTGCTTTGGATTTTAATAGGTTGGAACAGACGAATTTATTTGAAATGTACTCACAAGAAATGTTCCGTAGAAAAAGCTTCCAAAATTCTGCTTGTGGTAATATTTTTATTTATTTATTTTGCTTAAAGTAACTGCTATGTTTAAAAATCATACATTTTCTACAAAATATTAATATATTCACAATGAGTTGAATTTCCCTGTAGAAAACAAAGTAATATATTGTGTTATTTTGGGATTAGATAGCTGTACATCATTTTACATTATTTGTTATTTTCGTGTCATTGCTTACTCATTTCATTTTTTCGTTACGTATTAGTTGTAATTCACACCATTCCTTCTAGTTTTCACATTCGTTACTTTAATTGGCTACGTCACTGCAGTTAATGACAGTGTAAGTAGATTGCATCTTATCATTATGTTATTTAAAGACATAACTTCATTTACATTTTTACCCTTTTACTCGTATTTATTCATACGTGATACTTCATATTCCATGTGCTTTCCTTATTTCAGTCTTGTTTCAATGGTATATCTTTAAAATTGCTTAATATTTGGTGTCTGCTACATTTAAGGTAAAGTAATCTAATACCACCGCCCGTGAACTTAATCACATTCGGGGACTGGTATACATCACCAGTATCTCGTCACCCTAAAGCGACACCACAGTGTACTCACTTGCTGGGCCCAGGGTCCCACATCCCTGAGACGCCAACAATTTTATAGCTCCCTCTTATTACCCACCGCTAACACGAGCCAGTCAGAACCTCCGTCCCGACCAGACCGAGACCACGATGGCTGGGTTGGGTTTTGTGACCTTGGAGCGAAGACTGGCCGTTGATTAATGCTACCTGTCAGCACTACACGGGATGCCCCTCTCCTTAGGAATTACATGGAATACCAAGGACAGCAGTGACCAGATTCTCAATGGTCCAGTTTGCTAATTGGGTACCAATACTCTGGTGGATGAGGACTTCATGGGCCATCCGGCCCATGAAGAGTGAGTATAGACCCACCTCATAGACCTTCGGGAACCGCCAAGCTCATAAATTTTATACCCCCGTGGCCGAGACTGCATAGGTACAGATCCTAGCCAGTAGCTTCGAGTTCTCTACGTCGACCACCGAAGGGGGGGGGCTGCTACATTTAAGAAATGCTTTTAGATTGCAGAACTCCGTTTATATGAACTTATTTCAAATGAAGCTGTTTCGTAAAATTTGTGTAGTTACTTTATCGCACCAAAACTTACCACGATTATTTTAAAGAATCTTTAGTGATTGCCTAAAACTTCGCAAATGTTGCATAAATCCATTAATTTTGGAATTACTTTTATTATATTTTATTTTCTGTTATTTTCTTATATTATTTTTATTTAAGCACTGTTTTTCTACTTTCCGATACGATTCTTGTAAAAATACACTTTAAAATACTCTTTTGCAAAAATTCCAATCAGAAAACTTTAAAATGATTTAAACTTTGTTGAAGTTCTGGGATGCGAGAAGCACAGTCACCTTTACCAAAGCAGACAAGCAATTTCAGTAAAGAAAATCGTTTCTTGAATCATACCATTGTAAGCGATAAGCGATAAGCGACGGAGGACGTGGGCACTGCCCCTTTACCATTTGGGTTAATCAGCACAGCACCACGTCCACCTTTATCTTACATTTCATGTTACATTATATATTACATACATGATTTACACATTGCATTATATACTACATATCGAATTAATACCTTACCCTAACATTACATTAAACTTCACATCAACTTATTACATTAAAATTCTTTCCTAATAAACCCTATATTTGGTACATTATAAAAGGGTTATTTTTCACAGGATTCGCATTAGACACAGGATACGCATTATATTATCATTATACACTGCGTACGCATTACATTATATACGGGGAAATCAATGGTACGTAGGAACATTATACGCAGTTGTGGGTTATAAGCACGATACGGGTTAAATTATTCACAGGAAATTAGTTATACACAGGCATTGCATTAAACAGGATAATTTATACACATGATAGGCTTTATACACTGGATGCATATTGAATTGTCATCTGGACCATGCCAATTGTACCCGTTACTCGATACACTGCCTACATCGTTATGCATAATACTATTATACAGTTTGCATTCACATTGTTTCAGTTGGGCTTTGCATTGTGTGTCATGTTGCTTATTAATCAGTACATACTAGATTACGTACTGCATTACATATTATGATACATATGACACTATTACAATTACATTACATATTACATTATATATTTTGATATATATGACACTATTACGATTACAATATATATAATATAATACATATGACACTTTTACTATTACATTATATATTATGATACATATGACACTATTACGATTACATTACGTATTACATTATATATTATGATATATATGACACTATTACGATTACATTACATATTACATTCTATATTATGATACATATGACACTATTACGATTACATTACATATTACATTATTTATTATATGATACATATGACACTATTACGATTACTTTATATATTACGATACTTGCCTTACGTATTTGATAATGTACTACATATCAAATTAACAAGATAGTGCATACTCCGTTTATCAGTACATACTACACTACATATTGCATTATATATTGCGATACATGGTTTACACATTACATTATATTCTACACATCAGATTGATAAGACGAAATAACGCCTTACCTTATCATTAAATTAACTTCGATCTACTATTACATTAATGGTTTTTAATTTACATGATACATGGCACATGGTAAATGGCATTGCACACTCCACCTTGCATTTGCATATCATATCTTAGCACGTTTGCTTTAGATTAGACATAAGTCTGTGCCCACGTTCATGAGTTTATCAACTATCTTGTTGATTTTTCGGACAGTACGTTTGTCTTTAACCATAAATCTGCAGAAAGCCTGCGTGTTTGTAGTTGGAATTGGCAGGTGCAGATCTGCTGTAAGCGGGCATTGGGTAACATAATGATCTGGGGTGCCCATCTCACCACATATACAATGTGCATTTTGTGCGATCCCGTGTTTTTCATAGTACACGGGGAAAGGACCGTGTCCGGTAATGTATCGGACCATTTGTGCATGCACTATGAGACGGTCTGAGTCTACCGTAGGGACGTGATAGTGAGCACGGCGTCCTGTCTCACCAGTATCCCATTCCTCCTGCCAAACGGATTTTGCCTTGTGTTTCAGACTTTTCTTTAAATATGAAACTGGCCATGGGATGGTGATATATTCCGCATTGATGTTTCTTGCAGCCTCCTTTGCAAGTTGATCTGCTTGCTCGTTTCCCCTGTTGCCGACGTGGGCCTTGGTCCATTCTATCCTGGTGTTAAGATGGCTGTGGTCGCGCAGATGTGTCTGAATCTCTGCAATCAGTGGGGAGCTGTGCACAGGGTTCACAATTGCATACAGGAGGAGAGGCTGTCTGTTATAATGAAGCTGTCTCTTTGCAGCTGTTGGATTAACGTTAAGTAGAGCTTGTTTGATGGTCATTACTTCACTCTGAAACACGCTGTATTTTGTGTCCAGGTGAAATTTCCATTGTGCTATTGTGCTTTGCTGTCTGAGGGCAACATAGGCGCAACCTGTATTTTCATCTAGTTTTGACCCGTCGGTATAATAGACTAGATCATCTTCCTTTACATTGGTGTTTTGCTTGATGCTAATCTTTACTCCCTGTCCCTGCGTTGAGGGGTGATCGGCAAGGCGTATCATCTTTTGTTCAAATTCGGCTGGTGAGTATAGCTCGCCTCTGAAGCTGGTAAGATTGCCAAGTTGAGTGATCTCCTGATAGGCTGCTTCCTTTTCTACGCTCAGATGGAGCGGTAGCAATCCTGTTAGTACGCATAACGCATTTTTGGGGATGCTCGGAAGGCCTTGGTGACATTCAGGAAAAAAGGCCTTTGTATGCTTAGTAGATGCCTGACCAAACAACCACTCCATGAGTTATAACTTTCTCGGCTACTGCTGTGTAAAGCGTTTTCTGGTATAGGGATTGAGACCCCATTTATAGCCCTGCATATATCTTAGTTGTTGGGCTAATCTTGCAGTTTTCTTTTTCAGCTCCAGCACATGGGGGAATCCAGTTTAATTTGGTGTCGAAGAGGATTCCTAGATATTTCAGCACTGGAGTGATGCGGAGGCGATGTCCGTTTAAAGTTATCCTTGGCTGTCTTGCCAGCGATCCGCCTTTTTTTTGGGACGAGCAAAATTTGAGATTTGGCCTCTGCTATTTGAAGTTTTAGGGCTGTGCATCTTCTCCTGAAAAAGGGAGCAGGATTCGATTGCATTGGCCTGGAGCTGTTCCCTGGTTCTTCCTTTGACGATTAGGGCTGTATCGTCTGCGTAAGCGATGATCCTTGTATGGTCAGGCCATGGGTTGTTGAGGACTCCGTTGAAGGTTATGTTCCATAGGAACGGTCCGGCGCATGAGCCTTGCGGGCATCCCTGTGTCTGATCTTGTTCTATAATTCCGCTGTTATGTGGAAGGATCAGCCGGCGGTCCGCTAAATAGTTTACGATGGTGTTGTAAATATTGCTTGGGCAGTTAGCGGTTCGTAGAGCTTGTAATATTGCTGGCCACCACAGCGTATCAAAAGCGCTTTTAAGATCTATTGAAATGAACGCTGTGTGGTAGCCAGAGGATCTGTTAGCCAGTATTTGGTTTTTGACTTCCATAAGGGTATGTAGTGTTGATTGTCCTGGGCTAAAGCCAAATTGAATTGGACTCAGGAACCGGGTACTGTGCAGATGGTGTCTTAGCCTTGTCATGAGTATCTTTTCTAAAACCTTACCCAGGGTAGAGAGTAAGCATATCGGTCTGAATGACTCTGGTCTCGTAGGATCTTTATCCTTCCTTCTTCAGGAACAAGACTACGTGACCGATTTTGAAACACCTGGGAAATGTCCCGGTATTTTTTTCTGCTAAGCAATGAAAACACTCTAAAGGTTATAAGTAAAATTTTCCCAATCTACATCTCTGATAATCTCAAAAAATGCATTGCACAAATCAATTTTCTTTTCATAGCAACGTTTTTCGAATATAAAC